AGCCTCACTCTCCAGCCTTATCCCTCAACTCTTCTCCACTAAGAATTCTATTGACAAGAGGTGAGAAAAGTTAATATTTAAAAGAAGAATCAGTAACAGTTTAAGCCAGTCACAAAGTAAACCCTTTGTATTTAGGAGTCTTTTAAAAAAAAATTGATATGTTTGTTGCATTTCCAAGTTTCCAAGGAGCATGTATTAAGTAACTATTCTGTTACTAGTGTGTAAACAAGCATAAGCAAATGCAGGACATGTGACAGCGCAGGTCCAGCCTAGGTGTGCCGGCTTGGCGTGCCTGGGTGGCCCTCAGGGATGTCACTAGACCTGGGAACCATGAAACAGGCTCTGTTGCATTCTGGAATCTGGAAATGAAGCTGCTTTTATGTTTTTAAAGAACTAGAGCTGTGACTCTACCAATGTAGCCTTTCTTTTGACTTAGGTGGAATTTAAACATCGTCATAATAATTATAATTGTAGGGCCGGCCGAGTGGCGCGATGGTTAAGAATTCGCTTGGGATGCCAGAGGGCCCCGGTTCGGATCCCACATATGAAGGCCAGTGACACTGCCCTCTACAGCTAAGATGCTGAACAACAGCTCAACCTGGAGCTGGGCTGCCCTGAGTCGCATGCGAAGGCGTAGGCTGCAGCCCCTGCTGCAGTAGGTTGCCATGGGCTACTGTATGTAGCCAGCAGCCAGAGTGAGCAGCCAGCAGCTGCCGTGAGCGGCCGTCCAGAAGCCGGTGACTGATCTGCCTCGCCCGGGAAGAGTGCAATGATGGTGCCAACCTGGGCCAGTGAAGCAACATCCTCCACAACTAGACTGAAGAACAAAACGACAGCAACTTGTCTGTTCCCCTTCCCCCAATTCCCCAGCGCTGTTCCCATCCCCCCAATTCCCCAATAAAAATCTTAAAAAAAAAATTATAATTGTAGAAAGTATCCGTGATTCACTCTGGGAGTCATTCTCCTTTTAGGGGACATCCTGGAATCGTGCTGCTGACTCTTCCCAACTAACCCCCCCGAGCCCCAGTACCTGAAGTTTCTTCTTACAGGGGGTGCACCATCCTCCCCACTAATCCTTAAGAAACACGGCCACAGAAAGCTACTGTCCCAACCCATCAGTGGCAGTGGGGTCTTTTTTTCACGTGTGTCAGAGCAAAAAAAAAAAAAGAGAAACCAGTGTCTTCCAGATCAATGATGAGTTGGGCTGAAATGTTACACAATTAGCTGATGTTCTACTCCGAAGCTGCACTGTCCAACACAGGTGTCACCAGCCAGGTGTGGCTACCGATCACTTGAAACGTGCCCTGTTCAAATTGAGGTGCGCTGGAAGAGTCAAATGCACACTCGAAGACTTAGTACGCAAAAGAGAAGGCAAAATATCTCATGAATAACCTCTCATATTGATCACAGAAGATAATGATATTTGGGATGTATTAGGTTAAATCATATATAGTATTAGGTTATGTTCACCTAGTTTCTTTCTCCCGTTTTTAATGTAGCTATTAGAAATGTAAAAATTACACGTGTAGCTCATGCACATTCAATTTCTATTGGCTAGGGCTGCTCAAGTGTTATACTTTTAAAATAAATAGATAAATAAATAAATGATCACTTTTAATTATTTATTTGTCTTTCGTTATTATGTGCCTTTCGGTGGTAAAAGTAGAATTTGGAATGGCATTGGGAGAGGGAGGTGGGTGGTGGGAGACGGCGGGAATCTAATTATTTCTATACCTGTTTAAATTCTGAACAGGTGTAGGGAGGAAAAAACATGCTGCATCAAATATAAACTCTGTGCAGGTAACCCAGGGCACTAGAGAAACAGGATGTTGCCCCCCCCCCAAGCCTTCTGGAACATTCCCACGTACCCAGCCTGTGCACCAAAGCCACAGTCCACCTAGCACAACAGTGCAGCACAGCCTCCTGAAGCTTCAGTGGTCAGACTTTCTCTCGTTTCCTGCCGGAAATGATTTATGTGAACAAGCATTTATTAACTACCCAAGGAGTCTTTGGAAGTGATGGCTGCAAATGTGCAGATGCCACACTTTTAGTATCTTAGCTCCTAACTACCCAGCTGATCCAGTGAGCATCAAGGAGGTATACAGTGACATAAATTATTCATGATTTTAAAAATTCCCATTAATGACCAGAATTCTGAATTCACAATGCAATTCAGAACAGGCGACACATTTTAATTTGACACTAATGTGTGCTTCTCATAAGAGGATATAAAACACAATTATTGGAAATTGATGAATCTTAAATGCCATAAAGTCAACACAAATAGTGGTAAAGTTTCCTTTAAAATACACGCACACACACACACACACACACACACACACAGAGCCAAATTTATGCCATAAAACACAAGCTATCCTAGTTATAATAAAGAAAATTAAGACAACATCCATCAATGCTATCAGTGCAGGAAAGAAAACTGCTACTTTAGAAAGGGTCTTACCTTATTAACTCGTGTGACATGGTGGTGGCATATTAGGAAAGTGAAGTAGCAGCAGCACATATGCATTGAAATTACAGAAATTCAACCATAGCCACCAGGCAGGCAGAGAGCGCTATTTAAAAAAACCAAAAACCCAGAAATCCCATCATTCCGAAATTCAATAAAATGTTGCCCAGAATAAGAAGGGAGAGAAGAATTGTCTTTTGCCCAGGTCTTTCATGGTGGGCTCTGGTCTCACAGGTGATTGAAGGCGTTACAAAGAATAATTTTGCCTCTACCTAATCCTGACTTATTTGATGACCTCAGAATGGAAGTCCCTGGCGAGATGGGACATGAGTGTACTGGTGGCATGATGTTTCATGACGTCACAGTGTCAATCACACTGGTCCCCAGCATTTTCCTGTCTCCATCCCTCCCTCCACCTGATTTCACGTGTGCGTTAGAAAGACCGCATTTGCTGCTATGTAACAAACAGTCACCCTGGAGCAAGATGGCAGGGACAGCAGTTACCCGCTGACCTGAATTCCTAAAATGATGGGCAAAGATGGAGGTGGATAAAGGTTTCCTGGAAAAGATGGTCTGTGTAGCTACTGTATATGGGGTTTGCTTCAGTTCTTAACGGGAGTCCCCAGATTACACAGTGTTAGTATGTCTTCGAAATGAGTGGGGATGCTTATATGCCCTTCCATTTACATATTAAATGCTTAATAAGATAATCCTAAAGCGACCTTTTTACTTTCCCCCTTTTTCCGGTAGTTTTTTATTGGTTACAGAGTTGGTGACCTGAAATGTTTTTAATGCATTTAAACATTAAACGTTTGCTCCAGCAACTGCTAGGCTACTAGAGGTTCGGAAACAATCATACCTTTCCTCTTACTGAGTTCCAAATGTGACACAGGAGACTTTCCCATAACTGGCACATAGTACATAAAAGACAAAAGAGACAATGTGCAAAACGCCGCGGAAAATGGTAGCCAACTTAAGCTCGCAATTTTCCACTGTACACATAGGATACTGCTTGTGGCTCATATCATTTCGTAACTTTGAACTCGTGTTAACAAGTTTCTGAAATTCTCTCAAAATAGGCAGTCCCCGGAATGCACCCTATAAGGAGGAAATGATTCCATTGTATCCAGCAAGTGAAAAATATGACATCCCTATATTTTAATACCCTGCAAAACAAACAGTACCGTATGGTTCTTGCCCCCCGCGCCCCCGCCGCTCCCCCCCAACAGCAAAGTAACAATCTGGTGAATTCTAATAAACTGCTGTTAGGTCTAGGAATATTTTTTTGGCCAAATTTTCTTTATTCCCGTTACAACTGGTTTGTTAATAGATTTCTTTAGCTTTAGAGTTATAATTAGAAGACAGTCACTACTTTGCATAATCAAATTGTAATTGCTGTTTGGGTGCAATCCAACCAATTTAAGCATCAGTACTTCCAAAAAAACAATGTCTGGCCAAAAGAGAAAAACAAATGCCGTGCTCTAATGATCTAGGTTATCTAATAATGTTTGCCCAACTGTTGAGCTGTTTTCAGAGGCTGGAGAGCAAGTGATATTAGAAATATCAATGTATTTGAAGGCATCATAGTTGTAAACTGAATGTTCTTCCATAAACACTAATGATGAGAATAAGGAAAAAAAATTCACTTGGGGTCAGAAACCTACCCTAGTGTTAGGGTTATCATTTGTTAAATGTGTGCTCCTGGGTGATCATTTAACTTTTCTGAGTCTGTTTACTCATTTTTAAAATGAGAATTATGATACCTAACGATGATAGATATCTGCCAATTTCCTGGATGCCCCCAAAATCTAGGTGAGCTAAATGATAAGCAAGAAAATGAGTAAAAGGTCTAATGTGTATATTCTGCGACTGCTCCGTTGTCATTTTGCCATAATATTGCCCTTTGGTTCAGTGCTACCAGATGTGGTCTAAGTAAAATTATAATGTGATAAAAGCCTTCTGATATTTCAGATAAACCCTCTTGGCCCCGTTCAAAGAGAGACCTGTCTTAAAAGAATTACTGTGCTACAACCCAGCGATCACCAAACTTTCTGCAATGAGTCACAAATAGTTTAGGCTTTGCAGGCCACCTATGATCTATGTCACATTCCTCTTCTTCTTTTTTTTTAACCCTTTTGAAACGTAAAGCCCCTCTCGTCCTGCAGACCACACACAAGGAGGCCAGGGCTGAGGTTAGCCTGCAGCCATAGGCCCCAACCCCTGACCACAGACGGAGTCCTCACTGTCAAGAGGTTCTGCTCAGTCCTATGTTTCATGCTCCATTTTTTTACACATATTCTTTTGCTCTTTATTACCCATTAGTCAAAATCTAATGAAATTGTCTTTTCTACCGCTACAGTACTTGCAACAACCACCGCCTCAAAGTCGGTTCTGAAAAGCTCTCTTTCACACAAGCCACAGACAGAAGTTCTTGGCAGAAAACCCTCCCTATGTCTCCACGCTTTGGGGAGATGGATGGAGGCTCTCCGCGGACTTCCTGGGCACATGCAGAAAAGGTCTAACGGTCCCTTACCTTGCCGGAGGAACGTCGATATTGGAAGAAACGACTTTTCGCTTTTGCTCAAGGAGACAGACGGAGCGGGTATTCTCTTTGTCATGATCAAGGATTCGGGGGGCTGTTTTGGCATCTGCTGTTCTCACATCTTCCTCCATGGCCAGAGGGAACAAGTGCTGATGTGACATCTTCTTACCAGAGTCACGTTTTAGATCCTCTGGTTGAAATGTGAAGGTCATTTCCCGCTTAATGCTTCCCACCTGTGAAATGAGACACGAAAATTCTTACTCGCACAAACTTCAGCTTTGCATGACAACGTGCTGGTGGCCGCAAACCCTGCCCTCCCTTCTCCCCTTGAAGATTTTACAGTTTAAATGGGGAAAATGTGGGGCGGCCAGGTTAGCTCAGGTGGTTAGAGCGCAGTGCGATCTAACCAAGGTTGCCAGTGCGATCCCCACATGGGCCACTGAGCTGCGCCCTCCACAACTAGATTGAAACAACTACTTGACTTGGAGCTGATGGGCCCTGGAAAAACACCCTGTTCCCCAATACAAATAAAAAAAAGACATTTAAAAAAAAAGGGAAAAATGTGACATAGAGATACAATAACTGACACTGCAAAGTCATATACGATTGCTGTATCATCTATCATAATGCAAACAAGAAGCATTGCAAATACAGAAATACAGTGAAGCCTTTCGGAACAAAACTTTGAAGGCCTGAAAGCATAAGACTTCTAAAAAAAAATCTGAAAATTTGAAACATCATTGTTTTCTACAACTGAGAAAACTCAAGAAAATAAATTATTGACTATTTCATGCTGATGATGTTTAACAGAAGAAAGTCCTAAATATAGAAAACCGAGCCTTATTTTTGATGATGAAGACTGGTCTTAACCATACTCATTAGTTCATGAAGAATTAGTTTTTATTCTTTTATCTACAGCAGTGACGATCTTAATTATGATTTTAAAAAATCATATTAATTTTCTTCCCAACTGTTGATGAAATGCAGTGATGCTCATGGTTTAAGACAAATATAAAACTAAACCTCAGGGAATTGAATCTGGTTATTTCAGAGTTTGGGAAGACTGAGAAAGGAGGTTGATGTTAAGAAAGGTTTTTTTGTAAGGTGATGGGTATTGTACATGAGGCTTGGAGCAAATTTGTTCAAGTCCTAAGGGTACAAAAGAGAGTCAGACTGGCTGCTACCCAGGAGGGTGTGTTCCGAGATATATGCCTATAAGACATTTCACAGGTCCACACGGCAGCCCATCCCTCTTTAGTAGTTAGTCTGTGGCGTCAGTAAACCTTTGCTCAGCCAACCCGAAAAGAAGATATGCTTATTTGTTTCTTTTTAATTTTAGGTAGAAGGAAAAGCACAAAGAATGTGATAAAATAGATTGAGCATTATAGAGTCTAATGCCATCAGTGTAAGGTATTTTCAGAAAGGAAAACCCTGAGGTGGACGTATGTTGGAGTCACAGCACCTGCCCACACTGAGAGCTGCCAGAGCCCAGGGAGGACTTGTGCCTGGAACCCAATTGGCTGGAATGTCCCTGTCACATGAATTGGGATCCCCTGTCTCGTTGGTCTGCACTTATCAGGGAGAAGAGACTTCCCATCTACTCCTGGCAGACTGAGTCCCACCTCTGTACGAACACGGTCAGCCACCTGTGGTCTACTTGTAACTTATTAAAAAGTGACCTCATTTCTTAGACTGCATTAATGAAATGAGTCCAAGAAAAAAAAAGAGTGCATTGAAGAGCTGTTTTAATAACATCAATACACCATAGAAAGGAATAAGAAAATATTTCAAACTTTTCAAACTTCCCAAAATGCAATGAATATTCAATAAAAATGTAGTTTGGAAGACTGCCAAATGCAAGTGCAAATATTTTAAGTATCCGTCTCTAGTCACTTTCTATGCAATTTCTTTTTGCCTGGAGGTGAGAGGCTGAGGGGTGTGTGTTTTTTCTCTTCTACAGCAGCTCATTACCCCAACCGATGTTACAACAGGAATATGGCAAACACCAGGCATAAAAGATGGAAACAAAGGCCTGGTTTGGGTGATTATAAATAGTTTCTCCCTCAGTGTCAAGTATTACATTAATTAAATATTTAAGCAGTCATTAGTATTAAGTTGTAGCCATAATTGACATCCATCCCTCCCTTGGGGCCAACTGGACTGGTCAAATGAATTTGATCTAAAGAGAGAAGAGGTGGGGGGAGAACATTACAGAAAGCTCAGCTTTAATTTTTAAAAATTTAGGGGGGAAAAACCCCCGAGCATCTAAAGCAAATTAATACAAAGTAGAATAAATTTCCGATAAAAATGAGGCTATAATTGTATGTCATGCTCTTAGCCAAGACTTCATAATAAAATAAATTATAGTATTATTCAACAATGTAGGCTATAAATCTTCTATAATACATTCTAAACAAATAAAAAAATTCATGTATCAGTAGTAGTCAGGGAGTTTTAGCAATGTAATGGATTTCAAAGACTATTTAGCCCAGACTCCTTATTTAAAAGGGGGATTAAAATGAGTTAGAAATGACCAAAGGACAAAAACATGTAGAGATGAAGAAGAGATGTTAGATCCTCGGAGTCCTGGGTTCCACTGTTGGTCAGGCTGGTGGAAGGAGTGGATGCCTGTGTGGGTGTTCATCACATCACTATGCTTTAAAGTTTATACATAGATATTACATTTTTTGTAACATTCTTTTAGTCATAGCAGATATTTCTACTTAGAAAGATTTTTTAAAAGGGAAGTTCAGAGGAGAGAAGAGAGTGAAGAGGAGACATGAAGTCAAACCTTGAGAAGTTGGTCTCAGAAATGGCCAGAAACATAAACAGGGTGGTGGTGAGAGAGGGTGACAGACATGGGAGACTGTTCTAGGATCGGCGGGAGCAGAGCACGTGGGACTGCTGAGGCAGAATAGAAAGAGAGGCACGGGGAAGGGTTTGTACTGCTGGTAGAGGAGCAGATGAAATTCAGCAAAAGGAAGATATGAACGTCAATTAAATTCAAACCCCTATTAGATTAGCAGAAGAAAGCAGCTCAAGGAAGATATGATCCCACTTACAGGAGATTTCCAGAAAACACAAATCTATAAAGACAGAAAGCAGATCAGAGATTGCCTGGGGCTGGGCTTGGGAACAGGAGCTGATTACTGCAAATGGGCACCAGAGAACTGTCTAGGGTGGTGGAAACGTTCTAGAATGAGATCGCAGTGATATCTGTGCAATGCTGTACATTTATTAAAAATCACTGAACTCTATTCTTACGATGGGATGAACGTTACATGTAAATTATACCTCAATAGTACTGTTAATTTTTTAAAGAAGAAGACAGAGCCAAACCAGGAGTATCTGGTGTGTAAGGTGTATCCCCAAAATCCCCTAGACCAAAAATTGGGAAACTGCTGCAAAGAAGCAGCCACAAAGTATATGCTGTGGGTGTTTGTTTGTTTGTTTGTTTTAAATACAGGGGGTGTTTCACACCAGGCGGTTGTGTGATTATGTCCTGCTCATCAGTAAGATGGGGCTAAAATCCAGTCCCCACTCAAGCCAGGTCCACACACTTCTTCACCCACAGGAGAGGGACATTTCTCTAATTTCGCCTAGAGAGAAATTTTGTACTTCATCTGCCCAAAGAGGGCGCTCGTATTTGTTTTTTGCCCCCAATTTGCACAATGCCTAGTGACAAAGAGAAAGCCTGCTGGTGATTTACAGAGCTTGGGCTAACTTAGCTTCTACCTTCCTTGAAGCTGGTATCAGGGAATGACGTGACTCATAAGTATGAGCTGACGTGTCTGTGAATGGAAAAGTTGAGGGACTCTGAGAATACTGCTGCTTATAAGGAGGCAAGGGGTTCAACAATAAAGCACAGCCAGAAAGAACCAAAACCATCCAATTGGATGGATAGAACTCGACAGCAGCCTCAGAGCAGGGAAGTGCAAAAGGAAGAAGAAACAGCCTGCACAGAGCTAAGGACGCTCAGCTCTAGTGGTAAACATAGCATTGCCCGAGAAATAATGGCTTCCTACAGCTGTGGGCAATGGATACAGGTATGAAAAGGACAGTGCCCCCAGGAGTGACACCTACGGAGAAGGGTGGCGCTACTGTGGCTTTTCAAAAGTGTACTGGTCTTCCTGGGGCAGAGGTCATGTCCAAACCTCCTGGTTCACTACCACCATTGGCTGGCAATGGGTAAATAAATAGTCCGGAAAAACAAAATCCAGAAGTTATGCCCAGTAACCGTAAAGACTCATCTAAGACAAGGGAAAGACGTAGTAATATCTAGCAGGGTTTTTGTTTTTTGCTTTAGCTCTCAAAGCTTTAGGAGGCAAAGGAAGATACTGCAGGCTATGACTGGCCACACAAATCATCCAAGATAATGATTGGATTCTCTACGCCAGAGTGATGGACTTTGGGCAAAACGATGCGAATCTTGGGAGATCAAGAAGAATTTCCTTGTAAGGAGATTCACTACCCTGAAGATATGGCTCTAACCTAAAATTTGAGGGGGCAGAAGGAAAACGTCCAGCTAAAAGTACCAGGCTAAAAGCCCTGAGTGATAAAATAAGCAAAACTGTTGACTAGTAATTTCCAGGAGAAAACACAAACTGGTTGTTTAGGAACAACCTGAGTCTGGATTTTTTGAAAAGTATCTCCTGCACAAGGAAGGACTGATCTGTGTCCCACGCTGATGAGACGAGAGGTTGGAAAGCAACAATATCTGATTCTGGTTGTCACATTTCAAGATGGAGCATGGAACAAAGGATTTGTTGTGAGGGCAAAGGATCTTATTGGGAGGAACGGGGACTATGTTGTTTAGAAAGCAGAAGGCTTTAGCCCACGGAACTGCTCTCAAATATATACCACGCTGTCCTGCTGAAGAGGTATTTGAGTTATTCTGTGTTCCTCCAGGACCAGGATCAATGGCGCCCACTTCCGCTTCCGGTTAACCTCTTTTGACCTTATGGTTGGCTCTCTCTTCCTCTTTTGATCTTCTCACTCTTCCTCCACATTGTGAATGAAACATTTTGTACTGATAAAAACTACTCCTTTCTACTTAACTGTGTTTTCACAGACTCATACACTGTTCAGCGGGTGGACTCTCAGAGACGTCCCCATCTCACGTAAACATTTTTTCACCAGGTTTTGTAGAGTTTTGATGCGCTTTTAATTTTTCGAAATGCTTATTGATTAATTTGCTGCCAGAGTTCAAATTACTTAAAATACATTAAGCGTC